CGCCCTCTCCTCCCCACCTTGCTCTGACCTGTCACCCCCAGGAGCCCGCCTGCCTTCACTGCTCCAGATTCCCCCAGTGCCCACAGCACCCCTGGTCCGCCTCCACCAGCCCTCGGCCTGGATTCCAGACTCAATGTCTCTCCTGGGGTCCCCCACCCCAAAGCCTCAGTGCATTGAGCTCAGGTCCCCACCTTCCACCTGGGTCAGCTTCACCCTCTTTCTCGCTCTCTCAGCTCCACAAACCTGTCCATCCCCGAGGGCTCTGCCTTTAAAACATACCCGAATCTGCCCCCACCTCTGCAGTCCCGCCCCGCCCCACCCTGGTCCCTGGAGCTGCCAACCCACGACAGTCAGAGGACGTGTGAGCTCGCTGCCTCTCCACCCGGCATGGCCTGCCTGGCACCCCTCATCCTCCCCTCCCCTCACTCCCCAGCCACAGCGCCCACCCACCAGGCCTGCCCGCCCTCAAAGCCTCTGCACATACCATTCCCTGTTCCCTGGACTCTAACACCTTTCCCCCGACACCTGCCTGCCTCCCTCCTGTCTTCCGGTCTTTGCTCAGCAGTCACCCCCGGGTGAGGCCCCCCGAGCCCCTGCCTTACTTTCCCATAAATGTGTCGGTCAGTAGGCCACTGCCCCACCAAAGTGGAGCACTGCCCCCAGGACGCAGCCCCCGCAGGCACAGGGCAGGCGCTCAGTAAGCAGGGGATGGATGGATGGATGGATGGAATCCTGGGTCCACACCCTGGACGTCAGCCTCAGGGCTGCTCACAAAATTGGGCAGGTGCTGATGGGACTCTGGAAGATGTTACCTCGGCCCTCCCTCCCTCTGGGGTGTAAGACGGAACTGGGGGACACAGAGATTCCGGCCCCTGGCGGCCCCCTCTCTTCCTCCGCCTGGGACCTCCCCTCTCACCAATAATAGAAATGCTGTCACTGGTGCTGTTGGTCACCATGGCCGGCTTCTGTCAGGCACTAGGTCCCCACCCCAGCCCTCTGACCTGCAGGCCTCACCCCAATCCCCTGCCCTGTGACCACACACATCGTCCCTGTGGCCACTCGGTCAGTCCCGGTGGCCACAGGAGGCGGCAGGGTGGGGCTGCGGTGAGAGCAGAAGCGTGTCTGGGGGCACCCCCGAGCCAGCTTCCAGGTTAGGGCACAGGGAGCCCAGTGTGTTGGGTTAGGGCCGCCATGCGGGGCGGTGCTGAAGCAGAGGGGGTGCCCGGCCGCCAACCCACCATCACAGCTCCCAGGACCTGCGGGGCAGCTCAGGCTGGTGCCTGGGGACCGACCCACCTGCCTTCATCATGGCTCCGCCATCAGCCGTCCGCACGGGCGTGTTGGAGATGGGGCGCTTCTCTGCTCCCCGGGATGCGAGAGAGGGAGGCAAAGGCACGGAGTGGGGGAGAGAGGCAGAGAGGCAGAGACACGGGAAGGGGGAGAGAGGGAGAATCAGACAGGGGAGCCAGAGGGGGGCCAGAGGAAGGGAGGTGACATGGAGGCAAGAGGGGCGCAGGAGAGAAGATGATGATGAGACGGGGAGCTCTCCCTCTCCTGCCAGATAACAGATCCCCCCCCACAATATACACACTACACCCACGGGCCTCAAACACTGCACGCATCCACACAACATACACGTCTCCCACATCACCAAGACACATGACACACCTCCCACCCATACACGCTGCACATACCACACACACATGCTACATGCACACACCTCCCACATAAGCAAACTACATGGACACACCTCCCACCCATGCATGCTACACACA